TTTACCCCTTTGCATCATACATCGTAATCTTTTTATGGGAAGGTTTTGTACTGTTTATTAACAACCAAGGAAATTGCTCCCCTAGGGGATGTATTAGAATCACAGAAGGACTTTGTCAACAAGGTCCCATTCTGTACCTTCCTCCCATGAAGAATCACTGCTATAAAAAGGCGCTGTTCCTGGTGTGCCACACGTTGGGGCAAAAGAAAGAACACTTTCTTATAGAACAACAAATACTGTTGAGATATTCAGGTCTCTTTTAGCTACATAGAAATCTTTTTTATATACTGTACATGGTCAAAGGTATATAGAGAAATAAAATGTATCTGGTTCTGTGGCTTTAATTACAAGACATAAAGTTTTACTCCTTTGATAGGTTTTTCTCCCCTCACCATAAGTAACAGTTTCTTTTAAGGAATCTGTACAGGTACTAATTTCACTTAACTACTCAGTATTTATTAAGCTACCTGCCTGATTTCAAATGATGCTTAGTTCTTGTGCTCTGTCTTTAATAATCTGGCATTCTGTGTTTGAGAAGTGGAGGTTAGTAATTTGAATTCAGTGGAATGTGCTAAGGTTTTATTCACTAGACTATAAGGGAGTGAGGGACAGAGTTCCATTTTGTACTTTATATTCTAAAGATAATCAGCAAAGAACCCAGTGGATGACCGGGAACTCATCCCTTCAACTCAAGGCCCCAGTAACATTAAGGCCTTCTTAAGTAGAAACTATGACATAAACTGAAATCGAGGAATTAATTACAGGAATTGAGGCCGTTTTACTTTGTGGTTTAAGAGCAGACATATGCTAAACGCTTCCATAAAAAGAAAGAGAATAAGCTCTTCCTCCATCCCTCTTCCTTTGCTGCTAACAAGCTTCTTCCTTTTGTTGGATAATTTACTAAGAGCTAAACAGCTGAGTCACTTGATCTTACCCTCCTGCAAATGCACAAAGATCCTTGGATTAGTTCAGAGGTGGCACTTGCTAGAACTGATGCCTACAGCCAAAGTGTACATCTGAATTTTCCCTCCTCCTTTTCCCTCCCAACCCCAGGTTGTGTTTTAGCTGCATGGCCGCTCATCTGCTGTGATGGCTGATGTCAGCTCATTTTCACTTAAATTTGGCCCAGGAAAGTTTTCGAGCCGGGCACTTGAGTTTGTGGAACGCTGGGGAAGGCTCCAGTGTGTGTTACGAAACCATAAAACTGCAGACTAATGGGCTCTGGCAGAGTCAGTGCACATGGGGATGTCGCCCAGGATTAGCCTCCAGAACTGATGTGGCCTTAGGGACTTGGTTTCTAACTTCCAGGGGCTTAGCAAATGAGCCTCAGCCATACTCTGTTTGCTGCCAAACTTCTCTCTGCACTTTAAGGGAATAAGAAATGTCCAAAATTACCCTGACTCCTCAATGTTAGCGTTTAGCCAAGTGCTTGATACGGCTTTTTTGAAAGAAGGGCCCACATTTTACCTGGGTGCATAAGGGGAGATTGGGAGGAAAGGGGAGTCGGCTTGTGTAGAATAAGTAGGAAAATATACCTTCTTTAATCCAGCAGAGGGCAGAAGGGAGCTTTAACTTTTTCTCACCTGTGACTCCGAATTTAATCCTGTCTATGCAAAAGGATGTACAGAATGTTGAGTTATTTATGCCTAAAAGGGAACAACAGTGTCGTACCCAAATGACCACCACTTCGAGTCGATTCAGATCTTATTACTAACTCTTTTTCCCATTTATGCTTATGGCTCTCCAAATGCTAGAATGAAAGGATATTTCTCTTTTCAAGTAATGGTACCTACACATAACTCTGTAAAATAGTGAAAACGATTTCACAGCCACTCTGGCTTCTGAGAAATCGATCCTGCCCTTTCATCGCGGATCTGCAGCTTGGGGCGGTAGTATTTGTGCCGTTGTGAAGATGGGATTCGTACTAAAACATGACGACAATTAAGAAATGAGTCTTTGTCGTGGTGTTTGCATACTTTTAAATCCTGGTTGTTAATGTTTGGCTTTTAAAAACACTTTAAAAGGCCCTGGCCGGTTTGGCTCAGCGGTTAGAGCGTCGGCCTGCGGTCCTGAGAGACCCGGGTTCGGTTCCCACTAAGGGCATGTACCTCGGTTGCGGTTTGTCCCCGGCCCTGGTCAGTCGTGCGGGTGGCAGCCACTCGATGTGTCCCTTTCACATCGACGTTTCTCTCTCTCTCTCTGTTCCTCTCTCTCCCCCCAACTCTACCTGAACAAAAAATGGAAAAATGTCCTCGGGTGAGGATAAAAAAAAAAACAAAAAAAAAAAACACTTTAAAAGGAACGTGTTTTCCATGCTGATGTGTAGTAAAGGCTGTTTTTGTGTGGGGTAGTATGTTAGTGTCTTTCTTTCTTTTTTTTTTTAGTATGTTCAATTGAGTTCCTCAGGGAGCAGCCCCTGAAATGGAGTTAGGATGTGTATTAAGGAGCAGGCCTGGGCTCTGCACCTGTGGCGGGGGCCCGGGGGTTGAGCGGGGATCAGGCAGGGGAGAAGGTGGATTTCCCTGCAGGCTCAGTGTCAGCTTAGCTGACTCCCCTGGGAACTCAGGATTCAAAGGACCCTTCAGAGTATCCTCAGCTGGGGCACTCCCATACTCATCAGATGTGGGATGTGTACCCCCACCCCCATCACAAGACATGACCTTGGTTGAGGTGGCTCTTTGCAGCTGGCACCATCATTAAGGGATTACCCTGCCGGCCCTCCCAGCAGCTGAGACAAGCCGTCTTTTATTGAAGAAGGATCTGGGCGGCTCATCATAGTACAGGTTGTGTGAGAAAGAGCCTAACAAATCAGGTACACCGGCTTTTCCTTTTGATAAATTGTCGACTCTTTAACATTGGATAACTTATTGGTTGCTTTAGAAAGAAAGTGAGAGCTTGCTATATTCCAACTGTATGGAAGAAATGGTACGAAATAAAAGACTTTTTCATGGTTAATGTGGTTTGAAAAATAGAATTTTAAAGAATGAAAGCAAAAACTTTTTTTTTTTTAATAAATGAGTGCTAAGTCCTGAAATATAGTGGTGGCATAAATACATATATATGGTTTATTTATTTGCATTGGGATTGTCCTATGAATAACAAACTGCGTTGATTAAAGGTAATTTCAGTGAATAATGGAATTGTAGTTTGTGGTAGTTCTTTGGGGAAATGGTAAATAAGTCACAGAGAGTGAAGCTGGTAGTCTGATAATAAAGCACAAGTGAATATATTACAGAGGAGGCAGGGAGGGACAGTTGTCTTAGGACAGTCATTTATGGCTGGCCTTTATTTCAGTATTTCATGTGTAAGCCCTATTAATTCCATCTAGCCATTTGTCATTGTCATAGCTTCGGTTGTGTGCCTGCAGGGTGCAGATCCCTGTCCTGCCTCATGCAGGTTGGAGACATGGTTCTCACTCTCAAAGAGCTCAGAATATCATTTAAAAAAATCACATGTGTTATATTACCACTCATCTCAGCAGAAAAGTGTACTATTTGGGAAGATGTTAAGCTCAAGGTGTAGATAGGTTTCCAAAAAATAATTTTTTAAATTGAATACCCCAATTTTTTATTGGCAATATATATTTCAGTTGTTTTCACAAAGATAGGTTCATTGTAATCATTTTTTAGTGACAATGTCTATCAAATACCCATCTGACTATCCATATTTTATCAATTGATTTTTTTTTTTTTATCCTCACCCGAGGACATTTTTCCATTTTTTGTACAGCTAGAGTGGGAGGGAGAGAGAGAAAGAGACAGAGAGAGAGAAACATCAATGTGATAGGGACACATCGAGTGGCTGCCACCGCACGACCAACCAGGGCCGGGGACAAACTGCAACCGAAGTACGTGCCCTTAGGGGGAACCGAACCCAGGTCTCTCCGGACCGCAGGCCGATGCTCTAACCGCTGAGCCAAACCGGCCAGGGCTTATCAATTGATTTTTAAAGTAAAAATGCTGTTCTCTAAGCAGAGCATCTAATTTAGTTCACAGCTCAGAGTCACATGGGTACTTTTCATTTTAAAACATTTTTTTTTTTTTTAATTTATTTTGGAGAGGGAGAGAGAGAGAGAGAAATGTCGATGAGAGAGAACACTGACTGGCTGCCTCCTGCACGCCCCCGACTGGGGATTGGGCCCACAACCTGGGCATGTGCCCTGACCGGGATCCGAACCAACAGCCTCTTAGTATATGGGTTGACACTCAACCACTGAGCCAAACTAGCTGGGCTTTCTTTTTCTTTTTCAGTTGCATTTTAAATATAGAGAGGACAGGAGGGAGAGAGAGAGAAACGTTGATGTGTTGTTCCACAGATGCATCCCTTGGTTGATTCTTGTATGTGTCCTGACCAGGGACTGAACCCACAACCTTGGCGTTACTGAGACGTCGCTGTAGCCATCTGAGCTACCCAGCCAGGGCACCAGTGCTTTTCTTGAAGACAGTCTTTGTGTTTCAGTATGAAGAGGACGTGCCTAGTGGTTATGTCCCATTTCCTCACACAGGGTATCAGGATATAAAAGGAGGCTCAAGAGTTGGCACTTAACAAAGCTAATCCTTTTTCCCCTCTTAAGGATTTTCTTAAGAGAAGCTGGATTTTTGTTGATGTTGGTGCATGTCTGAAGCCAAGAACCAGGGACGGCTCGTGCGGTCCAGTGCCGCTGTCTTGACTAACGCTTATGCGTCAGCAGCCTTGCTCACCCAGTGCCTCTGCACCGTCAGCTTCTGCTGGTGTCGAGGACCAGTTCAGGCAGGGAGAGCCTCGGGGAGGGAGCCTGCCTTACTAAAAGGAAGTGATACTGCTGTCACTGAGAGAGAAACATCTGTCATAATTCTCCCCCTTGGGGAAGGGTGGGTTCCAGCTGGGTCTGTGCAGGAGCCTGAGGTCTGGTTTTGTACTGATAACGAGTAGTGGTTTGGAGGCTCCGTACATTCTGTGTTGATGCCTACGACTCTTGTGTCTGTGCTCCCTGTAATGGGACTTTCTCTTTCTGCTTCTAGGAATGGTGCAGAAGCTGGACCAAAAACTCCCAGTGGCCAATGAGTACCTGTTGCTCTCTGGAGGAGTCCGGGAAGGCGTGGTGGATCTGGACTTAGACGAGCTTAATATTTATGCCCGGGGGACCGACTATGATATGGACTTTACCCTTCTGGTGCCAGCCCTTAAGCTGCATGACCGTAATCAGCCTGTGACGCTCGATATGCGCCACTCAGCCTTGTGCCACTCGTGGCTGAGCCTCCGGCTCTTTGACGAGGGGACAATCAGTAAATGGAAAGACTGCTGCACCATCGTGGATCACATCAATGGTGCCACCAACTACTTCTTCTCCCCCACCAAAGTGGCCGACTGGTTCTACGACTCCATCAGCATCGTCCTGTCAGAGATCCAGAAGAAACCCCAGCGAGGGATGCCGAAGGTGGAGAAGGTAGAAAAGAACGGGACCATCATCTCCATCATCCTGGGTGTGGGGAGCAGTCGCATGTTGTACGATATTGTCCCTGTGGTGTCTTTCAAAGGCTGGCCTGCGGTAGCCCAGAGCTGGCTCATGGAGAACCACTTTTGGGATGGGAAGATCACTGAGGAAGAGGTCATTAGTGGGTTTTACCTGGTGCCTGCTTGCTCCTACAAGGGTAAGAAGGATAATGAATGGCGACTGTCCTTTGCCAGGAGCGAGGTGCAGTTGAAGAAGTGCATCTCTAGCAGCCTCATGCAGGCCTACCAGGCCTGCAAAGCCATCATCATCAAACTTCTGTCCCGGCCCAAGGCCATCAGCCCCTACCACCTGCGGAGCATGATGCTCTGGGCCTGCGACAGACTTCCTGCCAACTACTTGGCTCAAGAAGACTATGCAGCCCACTTTTTGCTGGGCCTCATCGATGACCTGCAACACTGCCTGGTCAACAAGATGTGCCCCAATTACTTCATCCCTCAGTGCAACATGCTGGAGCACCTGTCCGAGGAGACCGTCATGCTCCAGGCGCGGAAGCTGTCCTCCGTCCGCTCCGACCCCGCAGAGCACTTGCGCACGGCCATCGAGCACGTCAAGGCCGCCAACCGGCTGACGCTGGAGCTGCAGAGGCGCGGGAGCACCACCAGCATCCCCTCCCCGCAGTCGGACGGCGGGGACCCCAACCAGCCTGACGACCGTTTAGCCAAAAAACTGCAGCAGCTGGTGACTGAGAACCCGGGGAAATCCATTTCTGTCTTTATTAACCCCGATGATGTCACGAGGCCCCATTTCAGAATTGATGATAAATTTTTCTGAGCATTTGCTGCCTTTTTTTTTTTGCCCCCCCGGTTCTAAAACTTGTATCATGTGTCCTGTGGTTCGTGCCACTGTCTTTCCGTTTTTTACACATCCAGCCGAGGTTGGATCTGTTAACACATCTGAAGCCTGCTGTTTCTGCAGGGTGGTGCAGGCTCTGAAACAGTGTATTCCGATTTCATGTTCTGCCTTTGGTTTCGTTTACTTTTTATAGTTACTGTCACGTAGGTTTGTTGTTGTTTTTTAAGGAGAACTTGAGCCATAGACAAAGATGCCCATGAATTTTCTTACTTTTCTCAGTTTCACACTTTGTGCAAATTTGTTAATGGGGATGGGGAAGCAGACCTCTTTCTGACACAGTAGGAACTCTTATTATTTTTTTGTTTTTTTACTTGTCTTTATTTTTTAAATGAGAGCATCACTACAGATATTTGAGAGCATCTGAACCTGGGAACTGCGTGGTCAGTCAGCCGGATTGAATTCTTCTGACCAGAGGCCAGAATGGTTTCCCCTCCCCACCCGACAGTATCGACTTTGAAAGTGATAATGCTACAAATTCTGTTTTGGAGCAACTTCATTGAATGTAATTGTCCTCAAATCAGAACTTCGGATTGTTTGGAGAGTGTGTTTGACAACTTTCCAAACAGAATTAAGTTTCCAAATGGTAGTTTTAGCGTGTGTTAATTATTTGAAGCCTTATTTAAACCTTATTAAAGAACATACCATTATAATTGTTATTTGCACTAATGAAATATTTGCCATTGTCAGAGTTCCAATATGTGCTTTCCAATATAAATTGACATCCTTTGAAATGCTATCATTTTTTTTTGTCATTTAGCCCATTTCTCTCAATCAGTGGAATGATTCATTACATTTGTTGAGTCCTCCTTTAATAATGGGCCCCTGTTTCACCCTCTTTGATATTCCTGGTTCCGGTCTTACTGAGAGAAGTTTTTAAAGCTTTATACCTGCTGCGTGACTTTACCTGAAGCTGGGGAAAATATATACTTGATAGAATAGGTGTCTTTGTATGTATTTCTTTTGGGGTTCTAGAGGTGAGCTTTTTATTGTAAAGTCTCTTTGCTTCTACTGAGAGTTTTGAGAAAAAGTGGCAGGAAGAATTCACGACCCCCAAATGGAAGATGTCACACCTGTTCAAAAGCAGGTTTTGCAATGAGCAGGAGCCAGGACACGTCGGTGCACAGCAGCCTTGGTGTAGAGCTGTCCCGTCTTCATGAATGGAATTTCCTGCCAGGTTTAGGTGCCGCAAGGCATTGGCCCCTGGTTGGTATGGACTCCTTGCTAACTGTGGTGTTTGACAGGCCCGCTGATCTCTCAAAGGATGACCATGATGTCTACTGTTGGAAAGGTCACACGATGTTTTGGTTTTGATCTTGGATGTGCAGACTTGCAGGTTCAATGGAAATCAGGCCTTGGCGGTCCTGGGTTTTTGCATGGGAATTAATGTAATGTTTATAAATGAAAATGAAATCATTCAACCATCTTAAGTCAAACACAAAAATAATCATAATAAAAAAAACGTACTGGCCTTGGAATTTTGTGGTTGCTGTTGTTAGTTTGTGATCTGGAAACTATTTTCTTATTAGCAATACCAGCAGTAATTTTTAGTGAAGTTGGGCTTACTATTGTCTTTGAGGCCTGATGTTCATGTATGGAACAGCCAGTATCCTTTCTTCACTTCCCTGTTATTTATTTATTACTAATATCTACCTGTCCTCCACCTAATCTGTGTCCTTCTTAGGAAATGACTGTCCCGAGCTCCAGACCACACCCTGGTTGGTGTAGGCCAGTTGTCATAACTATTTCCCTGGACACAGTCATTAATTAGGGGCATGGAAGGTAAGCTGCTCCAGTCAGGGACATGCTCAGCATTCTAGCTTGGGATGTTGGGCAGAGCTTGCTCTCTGGATATGGAGAGGAAGAGCTGGGCCTCTGTCACTCTGACAGCTGTCACATAATCATGGCTAGAGCCAGCCTGAGGATGAAACCGACATTGGATGACACTGGAGAAATGGGGGGGGGGGGGGCCAAGTCACCAGACTCTGTCCTCCCGCCTTCTGAATCTGAGACCTCCCTTCCCACTGGACTTTCTACTTAAATGAGTCAATACTTAGTTCTTTTAGCATTTTGAATGTGGTTCAATTCATCAAAATATTTAAACTGGTATACCAAAGTATTCCAGTGTATTTAAACTATTAAGTTGTGTGTCTCTTTTCTTTCTGGGGATAGATATCAAGGGTATCCATGTAGTTTATCTAAAAGCTGGTTTATGCCATCTGATTTAATTAAGTCCAAAGAATAGCATAGCCTCTAGAACTAATAAATATGTACCTGGTGAAGACTGTTAAAATCTATTATACTTTGACCATTATGCTAAACTTCCTAGGTTCAAAGAAACTTACAAACTGCTGAAGTAACAAGCATATTCAAAGGCGCTGGCTCCCTTTAAAGTCAAGTCTAAACTGCTAAACCTGTGCTCTGAATGGGCATCTCCAATATAATTAGAACATTTACGATATTTTAGATGCTGTGTTTGCAGACAGTGTTATTACAGGTGTGATGAGAACAACCAAGCCTAGTGAGCCTCTTGCCAGCTTTTCTTCCTTTGCCACCTCTGTTTCTAGTGAAGAACACTACACATTCTTGCCAAACGTCACTGAAAAGTCCAGAGACCCCTGGGATCTACTCATTTTAAAACTTGAAAAAAATTCCTGGGATTGCTATGAGAACTGTAAACCTAGGACTATTTCTTAAAAATATTTTTTTTTCCCTTTTTGATTTTAAAGAGAGAGAGGAAATGAGAGAGAGAAACATCGATTGGCTGCCTCCTGCATGTCCCCCACTGGGCATGTGTCCTGACCAGGAATCGAACCGGCGACCTCTTAGTGCATGGGTCAACTCAACCACTGAGCCACACTGGCCAGACTAAGCCTAAGACTCTTAGGCCAGACACTGTTGAAGGTAAGTAGAAATAGGATGTAGTCTGATACCTTTGCTTATCTGAAACTTAGAAAATCATCGAACTGCTAACCTTTTCTTCTGAAGCCCGGAAGACCGGAAGATGAGCTAAATTCACTTCTGTTTCAAGTACAGTATAAAATGCCCTAAGTCTGGAGTATTAATTTCAGCATTCTAACTGATATTTTTGATTGTGGGAATTTACAAACTGTAACAGGTTTTCAATCCTCAGAGACCTGGTACACATGCTTGAAGAGTAGAGTCTTCTCTACCCTCTGCCTTTGTCGCCTGAACTGGAAGATCCAAAGAGGCAAGCCAAGATTGGTTTTAGAGTGGGTGCAGCCAATTAGGACCAGACATTTTAAAAATAGGAATATCCCTAAAATTGTGCAGAATTGTTTCAGAGAAAATGAGAGGCAGGTGTACGTGGCTAATTTTACATTCGCGGGAGACGTGAGGAAGCAGGAAGGCAGGTGGCTTCTGGGGCTAGTTGAAGAATCCTTAGTAATTTCTGCACCACCACACACACACACACACACACACTGCATCCTTAGTGATTTCTGCACCACCCCTCACACACACACACACACACTGCATCCTTAGTGATTTCTGCACCACCCCTCACACACACACACACACACACACACACACATTGCATCCTTAGTGATTTCTACACCACCCCTCACACACACACACACACACTGCATCCTTAGTGATTTCTGCACCACCCCTCACACACACACACACACACACACACACACACACACATTGCATCCTTAGTGATTTCTGCACCACCCCTCACACACACACACACACACACACACACTGCATCCTTAGTGATTTCTGCACCACCCCTCACACACACACACACACACTGCATCCTTAGTGATTTCTGCACCACCCCTCACACACACACACACACACACTGCATCCTTAGTGATTTCTACACCACCCCTCAGACACACACACACACACACTGCATCCTTAGTGATTTCTGCACCACCCCTCACACACACACACACACACACACACACACATTGCATCCTTAGTGATTTCTACACCACCCCTCACACACACACACACACACACTGCATCCTTAGTGATTTCTACACCACCCCTCAGACACACACACACACACACTGCATCCTTAGTGATTTCTGCACCACCCCTCACACACACACACACACACACACACACACACATTGCATCCTTAGTGATTTCTACACCACCCCTCAGACACACACACACACACACTGCATCCTTAGTGATTTCTACACCACCCCTCAGACACACACACACACACACTGCATCCTTAGTGATTTCTGCACCACCCCTCACACACACACACACACACACACACACACATTGCATCCTTAGTGATTTCTACACCACCCCTCACACACACACACACACACACTGCATCCTTAGTGATTTCTGCACCACCCCTCACACACACACACACACACTGCATCCTTAGTGATTTCTACACCACCCCTCACACACACACACACACACACACTGCATCCTTAGTGATTTCTGCACCACCCCTCACACACACACACACACACACACACATTGCATCCTTAGTGATTTCTGCACCACCCCTCACACACACACACACACACACACACACACACTGCATCCTTAGTAATTTCTGCACCACCCCTCACACACACACACACACACACATTGCATCCTTAGTGATTTCTACACCACCCCTCACACACACACACACACACACTGCATCCTTAGTGATTTCTACACCACCCCTCAGACACACACACACACACACTGCATCCTTAGTGATTTCTGCACCACCCCTCACACACACACACACACACACACACACACACATTGCATCCTTAGTGATTTCTACACCACCCCTCACACACACACACACACACACTGCATCCTTAGTGATTTCTGCACCACCCCTCACACACACACACACACACTGCATCCTTAGTGATTTCTACACCACCCCTCACACACACACACACACACACACTGCATCCTTAGTGATTTCTGCACCACCCCTCACACACACACACACACACACACACACATTGCATCCTTAGTGATTTCTGCACCACCCCTCACACACACACACACACACACACACACACACTGCATCCTTAGTAATTTCTGCACCACCCCTCACACACACACACACACACACATTGCATCCTTAGTGATTTCTACACCACCCCTCACACACACACACACACACACTGCATCCTTAGTGATTTCTACACCACCCCTCAGACACACACACACACACACTGCATCCTTAGTGATTTCTGCACCACCCCTCACACACACACACACACACACACACACACATTGCATCCTTAGTGATTTCTACACCACCCCTCACACACACACACACACACACTGCATCCTTAGTGATTTCTGCACCACCCCTCACACACACACACACACACTGCATCCTTAGTGATTTCTACACCACCCCTCACACACACACACACACACACACTGCATCCTTAGTGATTTCTGCACCACCCCTCACACACACACACACACACACACACACACATTGCATCCTTAGTGATTTCTGCACCACCCCTCACACACACACACACACACACACACACACTGCATCCTTAGTAATTTCTGCACCACCCCTCACACACACACACACACACACACACACACACACTGCATCCTTAGTGATTTCTGCACCACCCCTCACACACACACACACACACACACTGCATCCTTAGTGATTTCTGCACCACCCCTCACACACACACACACACTGCATCCTTAGTGATTTCTGCACCACCCCTCACACACACACACACACACTGCATCCTTAGTGATTTCTGCACCACCCCTCACACACACACACACTGCATCCTTAGTGATTTCTGCACCACCCCTCACACACACACACACACTGCATCCTTAGTGATTTCTGCACCACCCCTCACACACACACACACACTGCATCCTTAGTGATTTCTGCACCACCCCTCACACACACACACACACACGCACACACACATTGCATCCTTAGTGATTTCTGCACCACCCCTCACACACACACACACACACACTGCATCCTTAGTGATTTCTGCACCACCCCTCACACACACACACACACACACACACTGCATCCTTAGTAATTTCTGCACCACCCCTCACACACACACACACACACACACACATTGCATCCTTAGTGATTTCTGCACCACCCCTCACACACACACACACACACACACACACACTGCATCCTTAGTGATTTCTGCACCACCCCTCACACACACACACACACACACACACACACACACTGCTTTCAAATCACTGACTGGAGGTTTCTTTAGGGTGACTGTTTTGTGTTACTTCCTGGGAGGATTAAGCCCATTGGCTGGTCACAGCTAAGTGCTGATTATTTGGATCAGATCATTTCCTTGCTGAGGACAATTTCCTGACAAGGAGCTCAGCCTTGATGGGATTGCTGGGAAGGAAAAAGACTGTGCTTAGCAGCA